CCATGCAGTGAAATCGAATCGAAATGCACTACATTGTTTTGTTTGGTTTTTTGGTTTTTTGGTTTTTTGGTTTTTTGGTTTTTTGGTTTTTTGGTTGTTGATGTTATGCCATTTTATTATATTATTTTCTAATTTTCCTATGAAAATCGTTGCATGGGCCTTTCTTTTTCTCAGGAGGCAGATATGTTGACAAGAATAATAATTTTCCATCACGGCTGCGTTTAAGTAAGAAAAAATAAACAAACAGTTGTCTTTGCTAATCACGAACTCAACGGAATCCCACTGAAAGCAGTGAATGTTTAAATTTTAAAAGCCCTTTGATAATGAGGTTACGAGTGGCTAAACCGAATAAACCTATTCTATTCTTTTCTTTTATCCTAAATTGTATTTTCAGTTATATTAACACGTTTGTTTACTTATCTTAACCTCAACTCAGTATGAGCGTATCAAACGTAGATAAAGTGCTACATATATACACCTACTTGCAAGAACGTTGTCATACGATATTAGAACATTAGTAATTTAGTGAGAAAGGAATACATTAAGAAACACAAGACAAAGTTCAACTTCAGTGATCTTCTTTTGTTCTTTAATATAATTCCTATCCCACTAAATCACTAATGTTCTATTTTCGTATGATAACGTTCTTGCAAGTAGGTGTATATGTGTTGTGCAAAAGTAAAGTGTATCTGTATATAWCCATATATGAACTAATTTGCATATTTCCAGATTCTTTATATATAACGATTTTCAACCAAACGTTAGCCAAATATCTAGTATCTCGATTACATATCAATTACGAAAAATAGCACTTTAATTAGACTGTTTTGTGTTGTCATTGTGTAAAAGGTGATGACTTACCTGGTATAGTGAGGTACTGGCCACTGGATGGATCGGATGATGATGTCAAGTAAGTAAGGCATTTCACTGGATTTTTGGTCAAAAGGCAAGCAGATCTTAATTTGGCAAGCCGATGCTAAAACTATGGTTGGGTCCGGGCTAATTTGCTAAGTACTAGTTGAATTGCTGACTTCGTTTCCACCAAAATTTCACTATCATTATGATAATATTTTGATTCTGCAATTTCTGTGTCATTCAGACAATTTTGATAATCATGTTTTTCGAAGCGTAGCTTGAAAGAAAACAAATTATGTACGATTACATTTATTGCAATATAAATATATATCATAGCTCTAGCTTGTAATTTCCTTTATCATCTTCCCACATCGTCAGGAAATAATTAGCGTCATAAAAACCGAAAAGGAAAAAAATTTTTTTTAGAGACGTTGACATTCCAATGTGAACCGTGTAACATTCAGTAGCCAGACGTCGATACCCAAAAAAAGTGATGTTTTCGCGGTTAATCAAATGTCTTGATCCAATGGCGTGCGGCATGTCTGAGCCGACAAAACGGGTTTATATTGGCGGCTCTCTCCCGATCAGATTTATTAGAGAATCGCGATACTAAGTTACATTACAGACCTTTTGTCAGTTCTTAGTTATAAAATGTCAGGCTATTTGTCAGTGGCATTTAAAGTGCCTATGACACATAATTCAAAATTTTTCAGCATTGATTCTAAACGAAGTAAAAAGTTGAAAAATAAATGATTTTTATATGGTTTGAGCAGAGTTAATAGAGTTAACTCTGGGTTTGAGTCAGATGCTTCTTGGAAATGTCAAGATTTATACTTCCAATATGTTAATGACATGACGTCAAAGGAGGCATTTCAGTTTATCTGCCATCACATTGATAAATGTTTTTTTTTTGCTAGAGCCTTTCTTTAAATTCTAAGTAAGTAAATGATACTTTAAACAGGATATTTTATTCTACTGCCCCAGATGAAGTTTAATTTCGCATACTTAATGATGCCTCCTTTGACGTCACATCATTAACATATTGGAAGTATAAACCTTGATATTTCCAAGATGCATCACTCAAACCATATAAAAATATTTTGTTATTCAACTTTTTATTTCATTTAGAATCAATGATGAAAATTTTAAGTTAGGTGTCATTAGCACTTTAAATGTCGGGCTTTTTGTAAGTAAAATTTCAGACTCGTGCATTGTCAGCCTTTTTGATGCATTGGTCAGCTGTCATATCATTTGTGAGCTGTCAGCAGTGCCGCCCCATCCAGACCCTCTTTGATATTCCACAGGTTGGTGGGGACTCCTGCTACTCCGAGGTACGAAGCCCTGGATGGAGAAAATGCACTGTACTTCCCTGGATTCCGAACGTATGCAGAAGTCCCGGCAGTGGTGTTCAATCCCGAGGGATTCACGTTCATGTTATGGGTTAAGCCTGCCAATCAGAGTGCTCACGCTCTTTGTATCTATTCCGATTGGTATTCTCCACACACGTTCATACTGGCTCTCTATAGAAATTACAAATCTATATTTTTCTGGTTGCGTGGGGAAGACGGAAACCAAGTTTCGACTTATTACCTAAAGTATGTGTAATCCTCTCTTAGAGTATCAGTATACACCTATTTCAAAAAACGCTCAGAGATCTGAAATCTGAGACCGAAAGGAATTGGGGGTTGAACGCTGTAAATTGTTTGTGGTTTTAATTGGTAGTTCGCAAAAAGTTTATATCTTGATATACTAACTTTGAGCGATGATCTGCGCTGGCAAACTATCTGGGTAAGTGTATATTGAATTTTGAACGAGAAAACACTCAGTCTCCCACAATTCCAATCGGTCTCAGATTTCTGATTTCAGATATCCAACCGACGACGTTTTTTGAAATAGGTGTATCGTAAAAAAATCGAATTAATTGGTCGTAAAGCAGTTGCAGTGATTGATTGCCCGCGCACAGCCTCTAAAAAATTCTTGTGTGTAAGCTTTCGAATGACCAGATGGAATAGAATTTTAAAAGGCGCTTTTTTGTAGAGGGAGGAAAATATAAGAACCCGGAGAAAAATCCTAAAGCAGAGAAGAAACGAACAGACAAGTAATGCACCAGTGATAACGACTCCAGGCATCGAACCCTGGATCATAGCAGTTAGAAGTTGTAACCATTATAGTTSTTTCTCTCCCCCTTCCACTCATCCTTGTAAAAAAAAAAGAAATCACTCGAACTAGACAATAGTCCATTTCACAGTTCCCTGCACCATCTTGAAAGGTAACGGTGCATTTGTATTAAAACGAGACGAACGGTGAGCTTGTGATGATATATATCTTTAATTTTTTTAACAACTTGAACGTACAATTATCCCACATAAATCGCGCGAAATCAATCCAAAACTTTCCAAAAATCGCAAATCAGCGAAGCAATGGCGGCCATACTGCGCCGCGTTTACACAAGTATATTTGTACAAAGGTCGGCTTCGCAAAAGCAGCAGTACTAATCATGTAAATATTTGTGTAGCATTGCTATGGATGGCTGGAATCACATCGCTGTCACCTGGAACAAAACAGAAAGTCTAGTCAAGGTTGCTCTGAATGGAACCGTGAAGCAAACGACAACTTCTACACTAAAAGCAGACATCAGGCGCACTGCTCACAATATCTACCACCTTGGTATCAAGTCAGATGAATTGCCTACAATCAAAAATGATTATACGTTCCATGGACACATGAAGCATCTGATGGTATTCAACAAGACACTGAACGTCGAGGAGATACAAAAAGCGATGTTTAAGTCATGCATGTTCTTTATGGTTCCTTTGACAGTTTCCTGTGTCATCTTGAAAGGCAACCGTGGCGGTGCATCAAAGCGAGAACGGGTGTGACTTTGCAATTGTAGAAACATTTTTTAAACACTTTGGACGGTAATTCCCATTTCTCTATCATTGCAAGGTCACCACCGTTATCTTTCAAGATGATATAGAGAACTTGTCAGAAGTTGTATTTAGCTTCACGGTGGGGAGCATGAGTGGTGTAGCGATCCTCGGACTTGTCGTAGGTGGGTAGAGTTAGTTGGTTCTTTCCTGTGGTTCGAGGACTTTTCTACGGGTTCTTCTAGTTCGCTCTAGAAGGACCTAGATGAAAATTACTCTGAGTAATGCTATAGTTTCTCTCCCAAATTGTGTATTTTTTTAATTGTGGCTGGAGAGGGGGGGGGGGGTAGTATTTGCACCAACAGCTATTTCAAAAGAGGTTGGTTGTTTACAATTAGATTGGAAATTCCGGTAATTCCGGTTTTTCTGTAAATGGTACAACCTTCTCCCATCAAAAAAATGTTTGGTAGAAGTGGAAATGCTCAATAGGTACCCCATTTGTTCCAGTAAGCCCAGAATAACCGGAGAGAAGTTATTGTGGCAGAATAAATATGACCAATCTGACTTTTATTCTTCACTTGACTCTAAAGATGACTTCCACTCAGGTTGTCGAAACGTCAGTCACATCAAACAGTCCTTCTCAGGACTACATCCACCCGGATGATCATATTACTTCGATTAACAATAACCGGAGAATCGCTTACCATTTACACTTTCCACACATGCATGTATCGGTCTGCCCCAGAACAGGAAGCCTAAAAGTAGAATGTCCAGTTGATATTGCAAATGGAACACAAACCTCCCAGGAATGACTGGGAAAAGGGAAACAGTTTCGTACCGTTTGCTCATTCTGGATGAAGAGGAAATAGCGCAGCGCACTGATTCTAAAAATAGCTTAAAGATTCGGACAAACATTGCATTCTGTTTAACCGCTACGAGGATTATACGAACCGATTTTATTATTTTTACTTAAAGTTACAATAATAACCCATGTAAACTAAGATCAACTGCGATCGGCTGTGAAAATTATCTGCTGAAAGTAAACTTGTAAGTTTGTTTGTCCGAATTTCGCCTTTGTCTTCGTTTTTATGACGTCACGGCTGCGCTGCGCTATTCTGGTGGAATTTCTAATGTAATGGTAAACAACCGTTGTGATCTTTATAACACAGTCTTTTGCTTATTTTCAAGATTATAGAGAAGACGGCCCATGGATTGGTCTGTCTGTCCAGAATAATACCAACACCTTTAAGTGGAGTGACGGTACCAACACCCAGTTCATGGATCAGATGGAACAGTTACCTTCTTACCAACCAAATCCTTCTTTGTCTGGTCGGAAATGTGCCTTATTTGGAAGGAACGGGAAATGGTTTGATAAATTTTGCAGCGAAAAGAGATCTTATATTTGTAAGAAGCCGTTTGTTTGATTACCCATATCATATCTTAATGGAACTAAGACGTCTATCCGAAATAAGACAAGCCCTAAATGTAGTAGGACCATCAACATTTCAGGATCTCTTTGGATTTTATTGAAACACGCGATGCATGGTTCTAGACTGTTTCAATACTGCTTCTTATTCTTGAGTGGATTTTACGAATGCTGGGCTAAAGTTTTCAATAGTTGCATTTCCAAGATTTGTTTTGTCAAAGCCAAACACTTTCTTTTGGCATATGAACTGTTTCTTTTCAATACAAAGTTTCTCACCACACTTGCATGCCCTGAGCTTCAAGTTTTCCAGTTAAAAACCTCAGAATGGCTTATTCGAGAATGCTGAAGTTTTCGCATCCAATGACATTTAGGTGTACTTCTCATTAAATAAAATAAAATAAAAATAACTGATTAAATTAAAAAAAGAAAAAAAAAAAACCTACGTATACGAAGTATAGAAGAAATAATAATTATAATACAAGAAAGAAGGACCAAGAGGGTGGGCGCGAACGGGACCTAGAGTCCCATGCGAGGCACCTCTACACTAAAACGATAAACGAGTAAAAAGACTTAGGCGAAGGAAAGAAAAAAATCAAATCTATTGTTGCCAATGGCAACCACAGTTATGATAGAGGCTCCACGTGCAAGGCCTATCAATATCAAAAACATTAATTAACTGATCCTTGTATACATTAGTAACAAAACCCTTGAAAGACTTTAAACTGAGAAAAACGATTACTAAGTATAGCTAATTTGCACCACACGATTGAAAAAAGAGGACTAAAAAGTAGTGGATTTACAAAGTTTCTAAGTACTTAACTTCACTAGACTTAGATCGTCGTCAATGTGTGTCCATGACTTACATATTTTAAGAAACTAGTATTAGTGTCAACATGGCCATATAAAGCCTTATAAAGAAAAACTAAGTCTTTGGCTTAGCGGTCATAGGTAAGAGGTAACAGATCTAATTGAATAAGTCTTTCTTTGTATAATAGTCCTCCTTGCCTGACTTGTAGAATCCAGCGTGTAGATCTTTTCTGCATCCTTTYAGCTTTCTGTTTCAGATGTGCAACGCCAGGGGACCACACTTCAGTGGCGTAGCACATCTGAGATTCTACCAGGACAAGATATAATGCTCTCCTTACTTTCACATCAGTCAGCAATGGACAAGTACAGCTTAGTACGTCGTAATAAACCAAATCTGTTTGCCTGGCAGTGACTTCATGTAGATGAGAGTCCCACGTTAATTTGCTTGTTATGGTTACACCTAGGTCTTTCTCGTCTTTCACATTTAGCATTTCCACATGACCTAGATGGTAGACGTAGGATAATGGAACTTTCTTGCGAGTTACCGTTAAAACATTGCACTTAGATGCATTCGGCACTTGTTATTGTTTTGGAGACTCCAGGAATCAAGGTTTGTTAGAGCTAGCTGTAAATTCTCGGCTCTAGCTGTGATGAAATACTCCTGTAGAGCTTGGTGTCGTCCGCATAGAGAGCTGTCAGAGTTCCACTAGGCACAACGTTTGGTAGATCGTTGATAAAAACAATGAAGAGGATTGGGCCAAGCAGGTTCACTTGAGAAACCCGGAGGTAACGGACGTCCAATTGGAGCAATACCATCTATAACTACTCTTTGTTGACGGTCATGCAGAATATTCTTGAACCAGTCATGTAGATGCTCTACCACACCATAATTCTTAAGTTTTTCAAGAAGGGTGACGTGGTCTACAGAATCAAACGCTTTGGCGAAGTTCGATTACAAAATATCTGTTTGAATGCTGTTATCTAGGTTTTTTCCAATTGTATATAGAACTGTCACCAATTGCGAGACGCACGATCCTTTTTTTTCATGAATCCGTGTTGCAATGGTGTGAAGAGAGGTTTTACATGATCGTACAGTTTTTTTCCAACACATCGTTCGAGTAATTTGTTTATAAGGCACAATAGAGAAATCGGTCTGTAATTTGATGCTGGTTCTTTGAGGTCTTTTTTATGGACAGGTGTGGCTTTTGCTTTTTTCCATTATTTTGGTAAAGAAGCTGTTTTTAATTGGCGATTGGTTGAACATTGAGCACAAGCTAGGGGCAATTTCATTTCATTCTTTAAGAAGACGTGCTGGGATCCCATCGGGACCACAAGCTTTCGTGATGTCGAGATCTTTTAAACAACCAACAACCTCATCAACTGACAGAGATATTTCAGACAAAAGCGAGTGGTTTTGAATATTCATAGAGCTTGTGTTTACGTTTTTAGACGACTGTGGCGAAAAAAACTGAGGAAATGTACAAGCTGAATGATTCAACCTTCTCGACTGAAGTTTTTGCAGTAATTCCATTATGAGTAATGAACCAAAGTGAAGCTAGCGTATTACATCCTAGCCTCGGATTGGGATCCTATTACATCCCAGCCTCAAATTGGACTCCATCCCAGCCTCGTATTGGATCCGAGGCTGAGAGCAAAATCAGTACGATGAAATGTAAATAGATTCCCATACGAAGGTTAGAAGGAAAATTGAGTTCACTATGAAGGTTAGAAGTGAATAAGTTGAATGTTTAATAAAAAAAATTAGCTGTCAGTCTGTTGTTGTCAGTTGAATGTTTTGAACGTGACTTGTAATCCGAGTCCAATCCGAGGCTGAGAGCAAAATCAGTAAATTCGTCGAGAATAGGCAGCGTATTCYAATTGATAAGAGCATAGAATATCATGAATATAAATCAGAGAAGAAAGTTTAACCGGAATTCGTTTGTGATTTTTGCCACCGTTAGGAGAAAGAGAGTATTTTAGTAGAATGACCTGTTTGACCTCCCCCGGAAATGATTCTGAATCTCAATGAACATCAATCCGACGCTGCCAATCCGACGCTAGCTTCACTTTCCCTCGTGAATGCAGAATTGCCTTATGATAACTCCAGAATAACTTCGGGTTGTACTGATTTTACGGGGATGCATTTATCAACAACAGTTAGGAATAAATCTTTCTATTTAAGCCAATAATCATCAATATTTTCAAATAGAATAATGTTGAAAGGAACGTGATTTASTAAGTAGCGCAGTTCGTCAAAGTTCCTGTTTGGGCTGCCTGTGACAATAACATGCGCGCGCATGTTCCTGAAACAATATATTCCTATTTGGCCCCATTGCGTGAGATAATTTACTCTATTTAAAGTATCGCAAAAATGCCCGCTGCTTGTAGACTATCAATTACTTATCATTTACGTTCAATCCACACTGGAACAGTTCCAACTACTCGATTATCTGTCACTGTATTTCCGGACTAAATGATTTAAAACTTAATATTTTATAACAAATTGTGCTCGCATATAACATATAAAGGGATTTTGGACACCTTCTTGCATAGTGTTGGAGTTAAAGAGAACATACTTCATAAGTGTGYAAACATTAGTGTCGTATGGTAAGCACTGATCTCTGCAAAGCTAACGATGAAGGTAGGTCGATATACCTTTTTTGTGTGTATTCATAATACGTGCAAGTTTATGGCTCGGGTACCGAATAAATATGCTCTAACGTTTTCTGGAATTTCTGCTAAGACGGTATTTGCCCCTCGACATTCGCAGTTGTGAGGATATGCAACAACGTACGTTTACTGCTCAAACTTGCATCCCAATCACTTCGAAAATAGTTAAGGGATTAATTAATAATATATATCAATATATACAAAACGAATGCGTCCAAAACGTTGGAGTTTAGTAAAATGTTTATTTTGTGCCTTAGATCGAGAAAACATAATACCAAAAATGATAAGGTAACTGAGATGATGTTGAAACAAAATTGATGTCATTCAGAGTTAAATGACTAAAATA